ACAGAGCGTCATTTTTTGCTGCAGCACCACGAAAACCACGTGCTTCAAATTCAAAATTTCAGCGTAAGGAACCACGTGCTTCAAATCCGAATTTCCGGCGCAAGGGCACAATGGAAAGATGCATGCCACGCATGAGGGCATATCGTGCAGGGACCAGTGAAATGGGACTGGCTGTCCAGTAAAGGCACCGCGGTTAGCTGTGCACCATGTTGACAGGGTCCTGCAGGAAAGTGCAGAGGCCCCAGGTGCACGACATGGTAAGTCGACCGTTGGAGGGGCGCGAGGCAAAATAATGGACATTACAATGGTGCCAGACAAATTTCGCCCCCGAAAAATACATTTCACCGTTTCAAGAGTGGTGCGGCGAGGCCCTCAGGGCTGCGAGAAATCGCCCGCGGTGAATAATCCACCGCGGTGTATACCGCTAGCCGGGCGGTGCATAACTGATGCAGCTGGGGCACAATGGCCATGTCAACGGCCCAGGCATCAATGGCGTGAAACGCGAAACGAGCGGGCCCACCACCGGGTTTGCGCCGAGTTCGATTTGAATTCTGAAATCAAACCACAAGCACGTGAACGCCCGCGCTGAATGTGCTGATTTGAACGTCTTCCGAATCGGAGGCAGCTTGATGGTGTTGACTCGAACCAACGATGAGTGGCCATGGCGTTGGATATTTGACGTGGATAGGCCCATTGTACGTTGCCGCAGCGGCGGACAGGCTGCCCAGATACGCGCGAACGCATGCGCCCATCCATGGAGGGGTCGAGAGGGAGCTTGCGTGGATGATGCAGTAGCGCTCGGGAGCGCGCGTGTGCACATTGCGAGAGGGGTCCAGAGCGAGAGTTCGCCCGTGTGCGCGCACACACACACACACCTGCAGAGAGCACGCATGCGCGCGGAAACTGTGGCCCCTCCCCCCCTGTTTCGGCAGACACACATATACTTATAGATAGATAGATAGATAGAGAGAGAGAGAGAGAGAGAGAGAGAGAGAGAGAGAGAGAGAGAGAGAGAGAGAGAGAGAGATTGTGGAGCGATGGTCGGAGCACTGGAACGTGGGTGATGGAAAAAGACGATGTGGAAAATTGTGGCGTCGACAGGAACTCCGACGCTTGCGTAGCCGTTCTCAGTGAGCCCCTATGTTAAATCCAACGACGACAATGGGGAGACGAACGTTCGACGATGACTCGGAGAATGTTCCTCCCGAGGACGTCAACTCAAACTTTACTCGTCCGCGGAGGTATCGACTCCAAGCCTGGGAGAACGGCGGAAGAGGAGGCGATGGCGTCGGCGGAGAAAAGGGAGGAAGAGATGGAACAAATTCGGCGACTGCGATTTTATCCCCTTCGAAATGGGGTGGGACGGGCGGTATGGACTCGTTGTCTAGAGGACAGGTGTCAGATGAAGGTGACGTTGGCCAACGTCGGAAGCACTCGGGTTTTAGCTCGGGTTCGACCTCGGGAGCACTTGGAAGAGGGGGAGTTTCCAGTCGCGGCGAGAGCAGCGCTCTGCGGATGATGCACAGTTCCATCAGGCTACAAGAAGAGATAGTAAAAAGGGTTAATGACGTTGCCTTAAAGCGCAGCAGCCGAAGCGGCGGAACAACAGGCGGAAGCGGTGGAACAACAGGCGGGGGCGTGGGAACAGGCGAGTCTCAGACGGAGACTCAGACGGAGACAGCAGGCGGCGTTCGGACGGACGTTCTTGCAGGGAAAGGGGGGGCAGGAGCAGGAGGAGGAGGAGGAGGAGGAGGAGGAGAGAGAGAGAGAGGTACTGGGGATGTCCTTTACGATGGCGGTGGAAAAAGGAGGAGGAAAAGCAGCGGATCGAGCACGAGATCTTCCGTCGAGAATGTTCAGGTCGGTGGTGGTCGTGCTGTTGCGCTCGCTAGCGGTAGTTCCGCCACTACCGCTGCGGGTAGTGCTGTCGCTTCCGGCGCTGGGATGCTGATGGGAACAACAGGGAGCAGAGACAGGAGTGGTCTTGGGACTCAAGCCGGGAGGGGAGTTTCAAGACAGGCTGGTGTAGGGAGGAGGGAATGGACCATGGATCATGGCCAACTTCTTCTTCCTGGAAGAGGCGGCGGCGGATTTTCATTGCCTTTCCAGTATCCCCCTGTTGGATTTTCTTACTCTGGTCTCACTGTGCCTGGTTTGCCAGTGGCCGCTCGAGGCGCGGGGGCACCGGGAGTAAGATTGGATCCAGTTGGGCCTGGCAACCTGGTTATGGCGGGCGCTGGCACAGTGGGTGTACCGCTGATGGCAACAACGCACAGTTACGGATCCGGGCCGCGGAGGGCGAACCGAAGGGGAAAGGGAGGGAGAGGTAGGGGCGGAGGTATGGTCGTGTTTCCCGTTCAGCCCGTCGTGCCCCCCCCCTCCTTGGCCTGGTTGGGCCTGCAAACGGGAGGCGCTAGACATGCTCATGACAAGGAGGTGTCCAGGGAAAGTAGCAACAATGATGAAGGTGGGGAAACTCCCAGCTGGATGACCGCAGCACTGTCCAAAGGCAGAGGGGGGCTTGGGACGGTTGCAGCTACGGCCAGAGGGTGGAATATCGTAGTTACGGAGAAAGGGACAATACTGAGGACCAAGGCCTCTCGTAGAGGCCGACACCCGGATTTCAATTCCGGTAGCAAGAGCAATGGAGGCAGCAGAAAGAGGGTGGGGAGGGGTGCGGCTGCGAGATCGGGTGGGAGCACGGCAGCCACAACACCTCGTCGGCCTGGGGAGCGTCAAGGGGAGTCACTTGGTGGGGTGAGAGGGGGGGGGCATGGAGGAGCTCAGAGGGGAACAGCTAAAGGGGGGTCGTCGGTTTATGGGTCACAAACGAGTGGGGGGGCGGTTAAGCGTTCGAGTGCAGTATATCATTGCTGGGGCCCTCAGAGCGCATTTGAAGGCCTGATTCCTCAGACTAAAGCCCTGGGTATGATGGGTGATGACTGTGCAGGAGGGGAGATCACGGCTGTGGTGGTGCAGCAGAAGCTGCTAGGGGGTGGAGCCGCGAGAGGGGCCGGAGCACAGAGCAAGGTCTCTATACCTGCGCAAGTCTGGTGGTATGGTCAGGATGGAGAATGGAGTTGGAGATCCTGCCTAGTGGTGGGCTATGATGAGGTGAAGGGACAGTACTTCATTCGCTGGCCACGAGAACTTGTCTTAGGGAAGGAACGTCACAGACCGTACAGATCAGGAGGTGGGTCTGAAGTTTGCACGGTGGATAGAATTCAAGAAGAGGAAGAGGAGGGGGAACACGAGGAGGAGGAGGAGGAGGAGGAAGTCGAGGATGAGGAGGGCAAGGGTGCGACCGGTGGAAAATGGCAACGACGGACATTGAACTATGATTGTGCGGTTCTTAAGCTCAATGTGAGGTTGCTAGAGGAGCAGGTATTGCTGTTGCTGTTGCTGTTGCTGTTGCTGTTGTTGCTGTGGTGGTGCTGGTGATGGTTGTCCTTCTCCCTTTTTGTTTCCTCCTTTTCTTCCTTTCTTCTTCTTCTTCTTTGTTTTGTTTCCTTCGGAAGGAGGGCAACCCCCAACACTAAGGGCATTGGGTAGGATTTGAACTCCTGGCAACAGTTAGAGGTGTGTACTACTTAGCCACTTATGAGGTACAGCTGGTATCCTCAATGAGGATGAGCTCCGGACCAGCCATTCGGAGTTTGGAAATACCTGCAGTTACCCTGTCAGAATGTACCTGGACTTCTGCACTGTCATGAGACCTATGATGCACCTAGCAGTGTGGACTGCACAGGTGCATTGGGACAGGGAGACTCCACAGATTTCCAGCTTCACCAGTCTGGTTCAGTCCTTGCCCCGTTGTAGTTGGTGGGCAATACGATCAGTAAAAGATTTCCAGCTTCACCAGTCCGGTTCACCATCTCTTCTTTTCCCTTTGCCCCTTACTTGCGAGGGGCTGCACCCATACACCACACTGTGTCAATGCTACTTTATCAAGACTTTTAGACTCAGTAAAAGACAGAACCGGCTAATCAAAGTTGAAGATCAGCCTGATCAGATAGCCTCATGTACGAGGAGTAAAACAGCCTGACAACCTAGCCCATGTAGCCGGCTGAGTGGTACACCCATATGGCTGTTGATAAAGGGCCTCACTCCACCACTCAACAGACAACCTAGCCCATGTAGCCGGCTGAGTGGTACACCCATATGGCTGTTGATAAAGGGCCTCACTCCACCACTCAACAGAGTCGATTCTTGGTAAGTTGGGTCCTGAATCCACCATCCACCACGTCTGCACTTTATCAGCCACCACGTCTGCACCACCCACCCCAAGCTGCAAAGGCGGGCTTGTGGTGCCTCCACAGCGTCCACCAAACCTGGCGACCAACTCCCCGTCCCGGTGGGCCAGGCCTCTTTGTCTTGTACCACTCACCTGCGTGGTGAGCAGTCAAGTTTGGTGAGTGGTGGAGCAACGGCAGCCTTTCGCGGAGAAAGGTCCTTACCATGGAAAATAGGGTTTGGTGACTGGTGGAGAGGCCCAAAAACAGACCTCCTGAGTTTGAATCCTCGTGGAATGAAATAACTCTGATTTACCTGGGGGTGGTCAATTCGATGATAATACCTGGAGGCCGTCCCCTTTGGAAACAACAATGTGTGAGGAAAGGATTTTGCGCATCTCGGAGTTCTGGTCCCAGCTCCAAGTTCTGTCTCCTGAATTTTCATCGTTCCCCAATCTCCCTTTTTCCATCCTCTATCTTTGCAGGAGGGACCTCCATGCTATCGGTACGCTGTCTATCAGGTCCTCCCAGTTCCTCCTTAGGTTACGGTGTCCCCTTAGCAAAGGTCTTAGTTCCTTTTCTGTTTTCCATTTTCTATTTTCGTCATCCCATATATGTTCTATCTTCCATATGCCATTATCTACCCATCTTCTCCATCTTTTGTCCTTTCGCTTGAGAGTCCATGTCTGTCCCTTTTCGTCCTTCAGTAGTTCGTTGTCGAACAAGGGTTGTCTCAGTGCTTCTCCTTCGACCTTGGGCCCCTTCTCCTTTGCGGGAACGCCTCTCTCCATATTCTGAGCAGGTTGGTCCAGTGCTTGTTCGGGGGGTCTTCAGTGGGGGGTGTCCCTCCTGGCCTGAGTCTTGCGCCCTCTTTTCTAGGTTCCCAGTCCTTGTTCATGATCCACATGTGCCCTTCGATGCTCTCGTGTGCTTTGAAGGGTAGGAGGTTTTTGATTTGGTGGATTGCCATGTCTTGCCAAGGTAGTTCCATTTTTAGAAGTAGTCTGATTACCCATTTGGTTTGGAGTGCCTTATATTCCATTGCTGGATCAATTAAACTGAAAGGCCTCGTTCGTTTGACGCATTTGTGACGTATTTCCAAGCCAGTTTTGTGATGAAGTTTTCTCTCGAGGCATCGCCTGTCCAAAGATATGCTGCTGCCTTTTTTCTTAGGCTCTTGGTGAATCACTTAGGGAAGTCCCATATTGAGGCTGTATACCATAACATGGAGAAAATAGATGCGTTAATGACTAGTGCTCTACCTATCAGCGAGGTGTAGACTTTCTGCCAGCCTATATACTTATTCATGATTGCTAATAGACTGTCTGCTATTCAGTCGCTTGCTCCTGTCATTGACACAGAGATGCCTAGGAATTTGACTGGATCTTGATAGTTAAGCCATTGCAGGCCTTGTGTTAATTCCGTGATGGGGGGAGGCGGTTGCTCTGAATTCCACCATCCTACTGTCTTTTTCCAATTTATTTTCATTTTTGATGCCAGTTGGAAAGCTTGCATTGCTCTTGTTATTTTCCTTTCTTTAGTTTTGCTCACAGAACCCTTTCGCCCAATAGTTCATCAATACGACAATCCGGTTGGGCCTGTTCCCCCCTCAGATCATAACCCCGTAGTCCATCAGTGGGACAACCTGTTGCCCCGCAGTTCCTAACCCTGTAGTTCATTAGTAGGCAAACTCTGTTCCCTCTCAGTAGTCCGTCTGTACGCCTAACCCGTAGCTCATCAGTAGGAAAACCCTGTTTCCCCCAGCCCTTGTTACCCACATTATACCCCTCTCCCTTTTTCTTCCTGCTTCCTAGTGATCGGCCCCGTCCCGTCCTTCACAGGATTCAGGATTATTTTCATTACTTTTGGCAGCCGGGATGTTGCCTTTTAGAGGGAAGGGATAGTGTTATGGACTCCGCCAGGGCTCGATCCCTGGTCTGTGGGTTACCACCTGCCAGCTTGTTGTATTTATTACTTTTTTTTAGTTTTTACAATTTTCTTGTTTTATTTTGTTTTTGCTCTTCTGATTTCAGATAGTTGGCGCCATCTGCATTCTGGCGCCCGTTTTTTTTTTTTTTTTTTTTTTTTTTTTTTTTAAAGGGCCTAATGGTCCTGGCTCCTTCCATTCTGGGGAGCGTCAGTCCGGTTCCTATTCCACCGGCAAGTCAGAACATAAATTACATTAAGAATCACTCACGCTTCCTTCCGTTTGGCCGAAGGACCCCTGAACAACATTGATTGCTCCACCTTGGTGGAGGATTAACTGTCAGCTTGCCATGTCTCACTCTTTCCTCTCAGACCTGGAAGCCAGATCTGCCAAATAGTTCTATGTCACCTAGAAAGAGCTCGCCCATTGTCCAAGCTGGCCTGTGAAATCCCACTCATCCGTCCTACCCGTGAGTCCTGATATCCCCTGTCCCACTTTACCTGGCCCCCCTTTTTAAGCGTCACTAAAACCCTAAACCCTAAGCCCTCCTCTTGTAGCCATTGCCGACCCTTCTAGGCTGGGATTTGCGGCTACGTGTCTGTTCCCCTTGGGTGATATGCGATCTTCTTTACATTGTAACCTTACTCCATCAGTCCTTTGAGACAACCTTTTCTCCGTTGCTACGGCCATTTGGTCTCATCCATCCATCTCTGAACTGTCCCTCCGTAGCTGCGGTCATTTGGTCTTGTCCATCTCTTGTGGAAGTCTGATCAGGAGGTGTTTTGCCCGTCCGCAGTTATCTGTTGTTGGTAGCCTCTTCCTAAGTTTGAGTTGTGCCAGTCTTTCCAGCAAATACGGTCTTCTCGTAACTCCGCTATTTTATCGCTTATCAACCAGATCGTGCTGAATCTCAGTCTCGCCTTCTTTTGTTGTTCCTCGTCCTCCGTCCATGATTGTTTGGTCTTCCGCCATCTGCAGAGGATTTCGGCTTGTATCATTGTTTTCGTCTCCGCTCAGACCCTCTCTCGTGGGTTGGACAATCTTTCGATCGTTTTGCTGCATCTTTCCTTCCATATGACCCATAGCGTCACCTTCCTGATGAGTCCAAACCAAATCCTCTCTGCCTTCCGGAGCTGCTCAGGGATGGGTTGTTTAGGGAAGGGGGTCGGGAATAGGGAGTCCCAGAGGGCCGAGGCTCTTGCCCAGTAATCTGTCGCCTCCCTACAGTGCAGTAAGCAGTGAACTATGTCCTCTACCTCGCCTTCCGTACATATCGTGCCTCGATTAGAACTGTTGGGGTTTGAACCCTTTCGCCTAGTGTGTAGCCATTGGTTTACTGGTAGTGTCGTGTAGGTGATTAGCCATTGAAGGCTTCTGATTTTAATTGGCCTGATAGACTTGTACTTCTTCCACTGGACCTGTGTGAGCTTGTCTGCCTCTTGGCCTAATAGATTCTACCATCTTTTTTTAATGGTGGGATCAGGGTCTTTGGTTTCGAGTAACAGTCTGTACCCCAGTTTAACTGTATACTCGTGAATTGGAATCTTGGATTTAATGTTCTTTGTCTTGTCCGGCATCCACGCCCATTTTGCTGGGTCAAACTCTAGGCTATGGATCGCCGTGTCAGGTCTGAAGATTAACTTTGGCCAAGAGCCAAGGACTCTTACCTTCCTAAGTAGGAAGAAGTCCATGACTTCCAATTACACTGCGTTGTTGAGGATGGCCGACATGCTGGAGGAGGTCGTGGAGATCAGAAAGGAGAGGAAGGTGGCCTTGGTGGGCGAGCCTTGTTGCATGTGGGAAAACTGGAAGGCTCTGGAGGGAGTTGTTTCTTGTACCTTAAGTCACCATTCTCCAGGCTTCCATGGTGCAGCTTTGGTCAATATGTTTTTCCATTCTTGTGGGATAAGGCTGATGATGTACTGGAGATTAGGTCCTCGTCTATGACGTCCTTTCAGTTGAGAGTTGACTTCCTGTTCAGTCTTCCACTCCTTTCTTTCCTTGTTCCATAGGTGGGCAATTTTCCATATTCCGTTTTTGATCCAGGAGAGCCATCTGTGTTCTAGGAAGAGGGGATTATCACCCTCATTTGTCACCCACTGATTCCCAAAGAGTGGCTGCCTGAATACTTCATCCTTAGACCTAGGTCTATTAGACTTGTTAGGCATTATTGTTCTCCAAATTCGAAGCAGCGCTGACCAATATGGAGTAGGAGGTTTGTAGCCCTCTGGTCTATCATCACTCTTTCGATTCCTTCGTCCTGTGGTCATGGCCCATTCCTTGTTCATAACCCAGAACAATCCTGATATGTCATCTGGCGAGGGCACTAGAGCCAGGGATCTGATATTGTTTAGGGCTAACTTGTTCCATGCACTGTCTGGGTTCGTAAGACGTTTTGATCCACTTGATCTGTAGGGCTTTTGTCTCTGTTCCAGGGTCTATAATCCCTAGGCGTCCCTTTTGCGGGCTTCTTGTGACGTAGTGCCATGCGATCTTAGGTATGCCATTCTCTTTATTGGGATCTCCTAACCATAGGTAGGACCTGGCTCTTCGATTCAGCTCTTTAATAGAGCTATCCGGTACTGTCCAGATGGAGGCTATGTGCCACATCATTGAGAAGACCGACGTATTAAGAACCAGGGCTCGACCAATAAGGGAGGTGAAGGCATTGCCCCACCTTCCTATTTTGTTGATTTGTTTGGTCAATATGTTATGGCCCATTTGGGGTGCTAGGCCCTCCCTTGTCATAAGTATACCAAGGTACTGGGCGGGGGAGTCTGGCGCTTCCCAAACCATGGCTGCTTCCTCTCCTTGTAGTTGGAGGGGTTCCTCGTCGGATAACCACCAACCTATTGTCTATCCCCAGTTGATCTTCATTTTTGAAGCCAGCC